GCCTCTGCATGATATATACACTGTACTTCTGTTCATTCTTTATACAGATAGCCTCTGCATGATATATACACTGTACGTTCTGTTCATTCTTTATACAGACAGCCTCTGCATGATATATACACTGTACTTCTGTTCATTCTTTATACAGACCACCTGTGCATGATATATACACTGTACGTTCTGTTCATTCTTTATACAGACAGCCTCTGCATGATATATATACCATGTACATTTTGTATGATGTTTTCAGTGATGGTGCCTGTTTGATACATGTTTTTTCATTTATAATTCATGATTATCTCAAGAAGTCAAACAGGCAAAGTTTATTGATTTCTCAACCAAAAAAATAAACTATTGTCTTTAGAAGATTATTCAGGATTTGAATTTCAAGCATGAATGCCTTCATGATGGTGATTGGGTGGCAGCTACTTTGACCTGCGCCACGTGATGGCAAGGTTTCCAGACCGGGTAGCTGATTCTGCAGACGGTTGTGGCTGACGCTATGGCGTGGTGAAGTATACAATACGCTGCACGTGCTGGAGGCGCGACACACACAGGTACATGTGGCCAGTTGCTGGATACCCGACATCTAGCGCCTTTAATTTGACCCACAATTACCCTTGGGGATAGAGAGTGTTATGGTGTTGTATTAAATTCACATCCATGGAGTATGAAATAACCCCTGACTTCTGCTACTTGACTTGTCATTAACTGGCGATCGCCTGTAGCGACCCCTATGAAAAATATCGACCTTTTTCCCTCCACGCGGCGTTTCCGAGAAGAATGAATAGTCAGTCACCCGAAACGAATCGGGGTGGCAGTCTCAAAGATTTCTGTGTATTTATCTTTCTCCTTATTTGTATATTTACATAGCCAGCTGTACACAGCGTGTTGTTTCCAAATAGTATGTATTTGGTGTAGATGGTATGCTTTCATTTGATACAATATAAATTGTTACGGACTAAACTAAATGTCGCCTGTGTGTTGTAGCGAGAGATCATTCTCCGGCTGTAGGGGGTTCTGTAGCTAGCTGGGCCATATCACGGTAAATGATGTGCTGTAGGTGTACTATCTACAGTGTTTTGGGAAATGTTATGACGAGAAAGAAACACACTGACATGACCCCCTGCCTTTGTTAGCGAGTCTCCGCGTCCTAGGGACAAAGCATGCCTTGCCCTCAGCCTTGGTAAATGCGATAAAGAAACGGTTCTGTGTGCTTGGTGATATGTTTAACAGTATTTCCTATATGTTGGTTGACGATCTCTGCATCTCACCGAAGCTGAAGATAGGCAGTGGAGAGGAGAACGTACGGCGGTTGGGGAGCCAATAGCAGCTATGCTCATCTCTCCGGGTCCTGGGCCGAGCCATGTCACACCCTGCAGCAGCAAATATTGACCCCCACACAGATGCTGACACGGTATCAGTTCCCATGCTGCACTGACGCACGTTACACACAGCATTACGCGGCATAAATAATACTTGATATGATGTAGGCCATGTAATAAATGGCTCAAATTTTATTAAAACTACTTTATTGTTGAGAAGTGAATAAGACTTTTTATGCTTCAGTGCATTTTCGGAGAGGACACATTCTTTTTCCTTCACATTTTCATAATTCGATGGTAGCTGTATAATATTTCACAAATCGTGTGACTTCCCAAACAGAGTATGTCCTGGAAGCCAATTTTCCTAGATGTCGAGCGACCTTTAAGAATCAGCAGTATTATACATTCAACAATAGTCAGTAAACGTTTGTTACGGACTACGGTTTACATTTGTCATGTATCGTTTATCAGATAGTTGCAACAGTAAGATTTGGAATAGACCTGAGGTTGAAAGAAATATTCAATTTGCCCGAATTATGGGTTTATCGCTAATGTCAAGTTATGCCTGGTCTCTCCCAATCGGTTAAAGTTTTCTGTGATGAAAGTTCGACGAAAACATTGTTTATTTCTCAAATAATCTGATCCCGTTGTTGTGTATATTTTGTCATTATAGATGTAGCGACGACGCGTAGTTAAAGCATATGTTAACAGATACGACAGAACGATTCTCTGATTCACTCCTAAGTTGAACCAAAGTTGTTGACTGCATTCTCCCCATTTGCAAATATCAAGTGGCTGTGTTCATTTCTAAGATGCTTTAACTGTAACTATGCATGGGAAGTTTTGTCCTCAGTGTCAGTTTGAAACAGAAAGTAAGATGTCATCCATAAAGAATCTTACTTCCTTATTGCTCACCAACTTCTGACATGTCAGTCAAACAGATCAGTAATTACCACCACATCCAGACGTATTTGTAGATATGTTGACGGGTAGTAAGAATATTTCGAGAAAGAAAACCTTACGTGACATTTCTTACGGTAAAGGTTGAGATTAAGCCCATCCAGATTTCCTCAACCATTCGCTTCTGTCAGCATGACCACCAACTCATTGGACAAGGCAAGGCGGCCCTGTCGTGAAGGACACGCGCAGCAGTGCAGAAATTCTGTCACACACCAATACACCTTGCTCAGCTCGAAACAATGCTGAAAGTAACGACTTATAGTTAGCATTAGTAAGCATTAGAGGCCGGCCATATTAGTGCCGTGTCAACATTAGTGATTATTACTGAACATGATCTTTAGTAGCCGTACCACCATTAGTGACCCTACGAGAATTAGTGGTCAATTTAGTGGGCTTACCGGCAATATTGCCCACAACAGTATAAATGGCCCTAGTAGCATTAGTAGCCGTACAAACATTAGTGGTCATATCAGCACGAATGATTCTATATACAAGCAATGCTGTCCCTAGAAGTGTTAGTGGCCCTAGTAGCATTAGTAGCCGTACAAACATTAGTGGTCATATCAGCACGAATGATTCTATATACAAGCAATGCTGTCCCTAGAAGTGTTAGTGGCCCTAGTAGCATTAGTAGCCGTACAAACATTAGTGGTGATATCAGCAACAGTGATTCTATATATAAGCAATGCTGTCCCTGGAAGTGTTAGTGGCCCTAGTAGCATTAGCAGCCGTACAAACATTAGTGGTCATATCAGCAACAGTGATTCTATATACAAGCAATGCTGTCCCTGGAAGTGTCAGTGGCCCTAGTAGCATTAGTAGCCGTACAAACATTAGTGGTCATATCAGCAACAGTGATTCTATATACAAGCAATGCTGTCCCTAGAAGTGTCAGTGGCCCTAGTAGCATTAGTAGCCGTACAAACATTAGTGGTCATATCAGCAACAGTGATTCTATATACAAGCAATGCTGTCCCTAGAAGTGTTAGTGGCCCTAGTAGCATCAGGACCCGTACAAACATTAGTGGTCATATCAGCAACAGTGATTCTATATACAAGCAATGCTGTCCCTAGAAGTGTTAGTGGCCCTAGTAGCATTAGTAGCCGTACAAACATTAGTGGTCATATCAGCAACAGTGATTCTATATACAAGCAATGCTGTCCCTGGAAGTGTTAGTGGCCCTAGTAGCATTAGTAGCCGTACAAACATTAGTGGTCATATCAGCAACAGTGATTCTATATACAAGCAATGCTGTCCCTAGAAGTGTTAGTGGCCCTAGTAGCATTAGTAGCCGTACAAACATTAGTGGTCATATCAGCACGAATGATTCTATATACAAGCAATGCTGTCCCTAGAAGTGTTAGTGGCCCTAGTAGCATTAGTAGCCGTACAAACGTTAGTGGTCATATCAGCAACAGTGATTCTATATACAAGCAATGCTGTCCCTGGAAGTGTTAGTGGCCCTAGTAGCATTAGTAGCCGTACAAACATTAGTGGTCACATCAGCACGAATGATTCTATATACAAGCAATGCTGTCCCTAGAAGTGTTAGTGGCCCTAGTAGCATTAGTAGCCGTACAAACATTAGTGGTCACATCAGCACGAATGATTCTATATACAAGCAATGCTGTCCCTAGAAGTGTTAGTGGCCCTAGTAGCATTAGTAGCCGTACAAACATTAGTGGTCATATCAGCAACAGTGATTCTATATACAAGCAATGCTGTCCCTGGAAGTGTCAGTGGCCCTAGTAGCATTAGTAGCCGTACAAACATTAGTGGTCATATCAGCAACAGTGATTCTATATACAAGCAATGCTGTCCCTGGAAGTGTTAGTGGCCCTAGTAGCATTAGTAGCCGTACAAACATTAGTGGTCATATCAGCAACAGTGATTCTATATACAAGCAATGCTGTCCCTGGAAGTGTTAGTGGCCCTAGTAGCATTAGTAGCCGTACAAACATTAGTAGTAGGGTTGTGAATGGGGGGTTGGGTGGCTGGAGATGGGCACCACTGCTTGAGGTATTCCGTTGTATTTCACCCTACCCCTTTAGAAGTTTGACTGACATTTAACCCTTACACCAGTCACCACCTCCACACCCACCACCACCCAGCCCCCACCACACACACATACACACACCCCACGCATGGTATGTCTTTCTTAATTAAGATTGTGATGTTTCACAAAAACGGAATGATACCGTTTCTTGAAAACCATGTGCAGTTACAATTTCACGTTGAGCACTCACACGTAAACCGGTAAGCGTGTATCCGATCTCCCCAGTGATGTGTGACCCATGGCTGCAAGTGTCGATGTCCCATGTATACGATGGGGCATCATAGATTTACACCAAAGGTGCCTGCAATGTTCATTGGATATCAATATGCAATAATTGACTTTTCACTGTCTGTAAGTAAACGGAATAGTCTACTAGTATTTAGAATTTCTTCGACAAACGGTTGTAATTTCATGACTATAATGTTGTCTTATTATTTTCATTTCCGCTTCCTTATCGATTTTCAATTCAAGTCGGTCCTGCTATAACCATAAGCTCTCGTTGTGGTAATTTGCTGGTCTCGGGCACGTGCCGCGCTGCCGGCTCAGGCTTGTATTCTGATTGGCTTATTGAATGATTGACAGACGGTTTGCATATTTACGGTCAGCTGATAAAAACGAGAGAAACTGACAACTAGAAGACAGAAAGAAAATCCTCTCACCGGACGAATAGTCACAGCAAATGTAGAAAGAGCAGGAAATAATGATCAGCATAGTCTTTTGCCAAAGTTACTGGCTGAAGGCATGAAGGATTTCTCCGACAATATGGCAGCCAAAGTGATGTCGTGAGCAGCAGCAGCAGCAGCAGCAGCAGCATTAGCCCAAGAGAAGGGTACACTCGCATTACCTTCATCCTTAATGTAAACTCTAGCTCAGGATGGCCACCACACATAACGGTTTTATCCAGCATCAAATTTTGGCAAATTTTGATTTTGGTGTTTACCCAGCTTCCGGATCTGTGAGCCCTTATGACAGCCAGTCTGATTTCAGCTCTCCTAATTCCGACCAAGAAAATATTGGCAAACACAGGAAAAAGAAAAGAAAATGCATCCAGCAACAAGTTCAACAAAGGCAAGCTGCCAATCTTAGAGAAAGGAGAAGGATGCAGTCTATAAATGATGCATTTGAAGGACTCCGTGAACATATTCCGACTTTGCCATATGAGAAACGATTGTCCAAAGTAGATACTCTCAGATTAGCAATTGGTTACATCAGTTTTCTGTCAGAACTTGTTCAAACCGACTCTCAAACTAAGGAAAATATCAACAACCATATCGGAGAACAACCCAAGAAAGTCATCATCCATTGTCATAGAGGTATGTACTATAATGCTTTAATGTTGCACCTTAGCCATGGAGAGAACACACGATGTAGCATGGCACTGGTGCTTGTAAGTGATTTTCTTTATTACCCGTTTAAAAGGATAAAATATCAAACTTATAATATCCGTTTTGCTGTTTCGTCAGTACACACGTGCATATTTTATACTGGTAATTGTTTTGAGGATCCATTTTTTGAAACATTCTCCATCACTGAAACTTGCTTATTTTGTGAAATATTTTAGCAACATTATTACGAATGCCAAACGCGTTCACCAGGCACGTGTTCGCCAACTTAAACAAATTCATTCCTCCACCACCTGTTCAAACTAAGTGTATCCCTGATAGTCGTATGCGATGGTTCCAGCGTTAAGTATCATGTAATGTATAAAGAATTATATTGGGCGACAAGTATCGTGAGGTATATGATGATACCGGCTATAAATACCATGTGGTATATGAAAATATTACCAGTAAGCATCGTGTATTATATGTATGATACTAGGTAAAAGTATCATTGATATATTACACTAATCACATACCCCAAATATGGACATCGTTTCCTGACAGTTTCTAACATTAGTATGGCATGTGTACGAGCCTTTCTACACAAGTCAACGAGTCATGGAAAACAATTCCATTTAAGACTACAAATATAACACGCATAGAATCGCGCTTTGAATTATTGAATAGTTTCAAAATAACAGGAATTGAAGATTTCATTTAGTCGTTCTTTACAATTATGACTTGGCTATTGGGTAAGATTTATTCAATACAATACTTCAACGTGCCAGTCATCTGGAGGAGAGGGATTGTCTCGGGTGTGAACCGACCGATGCTCAGACGATATGAATAAATACGAGCGGTTTTAACGGCAAATTAGACCCCTATTAATTCAGGGTGGAAGGGCATTAGATTTCAGAGCCCCTTCTGCCATTGACGGGGAACAGGGCGTTTGAGGGCGAGTTCCTGCATAGCGGGACCCTCCCTCTTCCTGCTACGTGCGGCCATCTAGTGTATGCTTTTCAAACATGTAGGATGGGGTTTATCAAATTTATTTATTTATTTATTTATTTATTTATTTATTTATTTATTTATTTATTTATTTATTTATTTATTTATTTATTTATTTATTTATTTATTTATTTATTTATTTATTTATCTATTTATTTATATATTTATTTATTTATATATTTATTTATTTATTTATTTATTTTTTTATTTATTTATTTATTATTCATTCATTCATTCATTCATTCATTCATTCATTCATTCATTCATTTATTTATTTATTTATTTATTTATTTATTTATTCTTTCTTACAAAATCTTTAGCTGTTGTCAAATTTACAATGTAAAATGAACAAATTAGGGAAACAAGAAAGTTTCAAAATTACGTTTTCATTTATTGATTACTTCGTTCGTTCGTTCGTTCGTTCATTCGTAAACGTATTGTTTAGAGATACCTGACTATAGACAGGGCGATAATGTTTGATAATCCCCTTGCTAAAAATACCACGATACTACCTCTGTACACTGCTATAATCATCTACTTGCCAATCAGATAAATATATCGCTCACTGTTGACTGACACTTGCACGTGATTCGTGTTACTCTTGCTACCATGTTTGGAGTGGACCGAAACGTTTTAATTGCATGCCTATCCAGGCGAAGTGTCCAGTAATGTGAGACATGAGTGTATGCATTTTATAAATGTAACAGGTAACTTTACAATGACGCCCAGACATGTCCATAAATCACACTCTCTGTGGAATACGTTGTTGCGACGTGGTCAGGTCTGCTATAAGAAGACAAGAGTCGATTTGTATAAAACTTTCTGGCCAGAGAATCAACTATATGAAATATGATGTAAATACAGGCAGTTCTACAAACACACTTCACTTGACTCTACTAACTGCATATCACACACCAGCCATGTGAGCAAACAATTACTGTACACATTATTCGGTCCTTAGATATAAATATATACATGTAAACTTGTAACCCTCCGACAGTGGTGTGGCAGTTATCGATGCTTCTGCAAAACAGTCCTAACTAAAGACATCGCACACTGCCCCTTTATTTTCTTCAGCGTCCAAATCACGCATCTTTACCGCTGGCCTTTTACTAACAACCACTGCTCTACGCTCCTCAACTTTGAAGTCGACTAACTGAGAAACATGAACCCTACTCTAGACCGTATTTCCCTAATCTAGCGTCACGTTTCACCCAATAAAAAGTATCCAATGTGCTAATTATATGTTGCTCCAGCACACTGAATGTAAGATACATTGTTCCTCCCACGGGGACAAAGAACGCCCTGGCTCCCTCTCCCTCTTTCGGCAGGTAGACAACAAGTCACGTGATACACACCCAACACTTTGAACTTTTGTACCGAGTTTGTATGTGGGTTGTTTAAGTGGTCATCATTAACCATTAACACTCTAAGGCTGACTTAATGCTGAGGACCCGGTGTTAACTTGATGCCAGGCGAGCACACGTACTGCTGGGTTCCTGCCACCCCAGCTTGCCGCTCACTGTCGGAGATACCATTGCTACAGTATTATTTGGGTTCTCACTCGCGCGCACACACACACACACACACACACACACACACACACACACACACACACACACACACACACACACACACACACACACACACACACACACACACACACACACACACACACACACATACACGCACGCACGCACGCATACACACACGCACGCATACAACGCGAGTTGTTTAAGGTGACATATAAAGTAGAGTGATGTTTTCACGAGTTGATTAAGGTGACATATAAAGTAGAGTGATGTTTTCACGAGTTGATTAAGGTGATATATAAAGTAGAGTGATGTTTTCACGAATTGATTAAGGTGATATATAAAGTACAGTGATGTTTTCACGAGTTGATTAAGGTGACATATAAAGTAGAGTGATGTTTTCACGAGTTGATTAAGGTGATATATAAAGTAGAGTGATGTTTTCACGAGTTGATTAAGGTGATATATAAAGTACAGTGATGTTTTCACGAATTGTTTAAGGTGATATATAAAGTACAGTGATGTTTTCATGAGTTGATTAAGGTGTCATATAAAGTAGAGTGATGTTTTCACGAGTTGATTAAGGTGATATATAAAGTAGAGTGATGTTTTCACGAGTTGATTAAGGTGATATCTAAAGTAGAGTGATGTTTTCACGAGTTGTTTAAGGTGATATATAAAGTAGAGTGATGTTTTCACGAGTTGATTAAGGTGATATATAAAGTAGAGTGATGTTTTCACGAGTTGTTTAAGGTGATATATAAAGTAGAGTGATGTTTTCACGAGTTGATTAAGGTGTCATATAAAGTAGAGTGATGTTTTCACGAGTTGATTAAGGTTATATATAAAGTAGAGTGATGTTTTCACGAGTTGATTAAGGTGATATATAAAGTAGAGTGATGTTTTCACGAGTTGTTTAAGGTGATATATAAAGTACAGTGATGTTTTCACGAGTTGATTAAGGTGTCATATAAAGTAGAGTGATGTTTTCACGAGTTGATTAAGGTGTCATATAAAGTAGAGTGATGTTTTCACGAGTTGATTAAGGTGATGTGTCCATGAGTATATTAAGATGGTATATTGTGCATATAAATTGTCTATATGCATTGTAAATTGTTTTTCCACCAGGCATTCACGAAGAGGAGGAACAATACGGCCTGCCCCCTGTTGCTGGGCACTCCTTATCCTGGACAGACGACAAGAAACCCCACATGGGACCAAACAATATAATGGTCGCCAAAATTTGGACACCAGAAGATCCAAGGAAAAACAAAATTCAAACGGAAGCTGATTGTTCTGGACTTCTTGATTCGACTCTCGATATCTGATATATTGTTTTCAATATGCATGTGGCGTGTGAAGGGATGTGTGTGCCGGCTTCACTATTCAAATCTGTTGTTATTACAGCCCATATTATGCTCCGTGAATAGGGGTTTTATTATTTCGAAGGAAAGGGTGTTTTGTTACATTATTTGCTCAGGTTTAAATTTCTTTCAAGCCAAAATGTCTTTAACATTTCGTGTCAGCAAACTTTATGAGTGCTAATGCATCATTGTGAATTGTGTTTGAGGTGATCAATAACGTTATAAGTAAACACTGGTCTCAGCTGATTACAGAAAGTCCGATCGTGATTACTGACTTAAAATACGTCTTCCCAGGTGATCAGCAGACGTTCACCTTGTCTAGTGAGTTCTGAGCACAGGACTAGACTGTATCTAATGAGTGCCGGACAGGGCCCCACTGTGGTCTGCTGAGTGCTGAATACAATATGAAACTTTGGTCTACTGAGTGCCGAACATTGGGCAAACAACGGTCTTCTGAGAGCTAAACACGGGGTGAGACTTTTGTGTATTGAGTCCTGAACACGAAGTGAGACTGTAGTCGACTGAGTGCTGAACACAGGACGAGACTGCGGTCTACTGAGTGCTGAACATAGGACGAGACTGCGGTCTACTGAGTGTTGAGCACAGGATGAGACTGTGGTCTACTGAGTGCTGAACACAGGACGAGACTGCGGTCTACTGAGTGCTGAACACAGGACGAGACTGCGGTCTACTGAGTGCCGAACATTGGGCAAACAACGGTCTTCTGAGAGCCAAACACGGGGTGAGACTGTTGTCTTTGAGTGCTGAACACAGGACGAGACTGTACTGAGTGCTGAACATGGATCCAGGCTGTGGTCTGCTGAGAGCTGAATACAGACCGAGAATGTATTGGTCTACTGAGTGCTGAACATAGGACGAGACTGCGGTCTACTGAGTGTTGATCACAGGGTGAGACTGTGGTCTACTGAGTGCTGAACACAGGACGAGACTGTAGTCTACTGAGTGCTGAACATGGATCCAGGCTGTGGTCTGCTGAGAGCTGAATACAGACCGAGAATGTTTTGGTCTACTGAGTGCTGAACATAGGACGAGACTGCGGTCTACTGAGTGTTGAGCACAGGATGAGACTGTGGTCTACTGAGTGCTGAACACAGGACGAGACTGTAGTCTACTGAGTGCTGAACATGGATCCAGGCTGTGGTCTGCTGAGAGCTGAATACAGACCGAGAATGTTTTGGTCTACTGAGCGCTGAACATGGGGTGAGACTTTTTGCCTGCAGAGAGCTGAACATAAGACGAAACGTTGGTCTACTGAGATGATGTGCATCTACTTTCTAATGGGTGCAAGAATACAAAACGGCTGAAAGGGTGGTAGGAAGTTTGACTGTTGCAAGCTGTATAATAGATACTACGTTGACTTGTTACAATTCAGTGCAATGTTATGTTATACTGTAATCATTTACTGGGAGAGGACTTACGTCCTGAGGCCAAGGAAAGTTGAATAAATTTGTTATATCTGTTGAAGCTTCCTTTGCTAGATTTGAAATATGCGGTTTTCTCAGAACTGTATTGTTCTGCTGAATCTGGGTGACAAAATGCAATGTCAGGTAGGATGTTAAAGTCTACTCCCCCATTACTTGAGAACAATCTTATCACATCCGTCCAAGCAGCGCTGGGCGACAAGGACGATTTTATTGGCTAAATGGAGAACTGCCTCTCAATCACGTGCTTCATTATACCACTTTTAGTCATAATTCAAAGCTCGTACATTAATAAAAATCCAACATTTTGACATAACTATTATCTAGAGAGGTATTCACAAGCAGCTGAACTGCGCTTTTACTTCTCGCACACAAAGGAATGCCAACAAAGGAAACTAATCCTTACTGCTATAAATTTGTGCGTTTGAGAGGTAACACATTTCCAGTGTGTTGCAAATATTGGAACTGGTTGATTATGTGTGTTTGGCGGTAGACCTGAAGGCGGTGTGTTCTTCTGTACAAAACCGGACAGTCTGTCGCCATATACCTATGGGACTGTATCATGATCTAGACTTTCCTAAGAGGGGGAACACGTATTGACGTTACCCAACAGATGGAAGACTTTCACAGGTTCCACAAGAGGTTGATGACTATCACAGGATACACAATAGGTTGATGACTATCACAGGATACACAATAGGTTGATGACTGTTACAGGTTACACAATAGGTTGAAGACTGTAACAGGTTACACAATAGGATGATGACTGTTACAGGTTACACAATAGGATGATGACTATCACAGGTCACACAATAGGTTGATGACTATCACAGGTTACACAAGAGGTTGATGACTATCACAGGTTACACAAGAGGTTGATGACTATCACAGGTTACACTACAGGTTGATGACTGTCACAGGTAACACTACAGGTTGATGACTGTCACAGGTTACAGAAGAGGTTGATGACTATCACAGGTTACACTACAGGTTGATGACTGTTACAGGTTACACAATAGGTTGATGACTATCACAGGTTACACAATAGGTTGATGACTATCACAGGTTACACAAGAGGTTGATGACTATCACAGGTTACACAAGAGGTTGATGACTATCACAGGTAACACTACAGGTTGATGACTATCACAGGTTACACAAGAGGTTGATGACTATCTGAGGTTACACTACAGGTTGGTGACTATCACAGGTTACACTACAGGTTGATGACTATCACATGTTACACAATAGGTTGATGACTATCACAGGTTACACAGCAGGTTGGTGACTATCACAGGTTACACTACAGGTTGATGACTATCACAGGTTACAGTACAGGTTGATGACAGTACAGGTTGATGTCACATGTTATGCTACAGGTTGGTGACTATCACAGGCTACACTACAGGTTGATGACTATCACAAGTTACGCTACAGGTTGATGACTATCACAAGTTATGCTACAGGTTGATGGCTGTCAACGGTTACGCTACAGGTTGATGACTGTCACATGTTATGCTACAGATTGGTGACTGTCACATGTTACACTACAGGTTGATGACTGTCACATGTTATGCTACAGGCTGATGACTATCACAGGTTACACAGCAGGTTGGTGACTATCACAGGTTACGCTACAGGTTGATGACTATCACAGGTTACACTGCAGGTTGATTACTATCACAGGTTACACTACAGATTGGTGACTATCACAAGTTACACTGCAGGTTGATGACTATCACAGGTTACACTGCAGGTTGATGACTATCACAGGTTACACTGCAGGTTGATGACTATCACAGGTTACACTGCAGGTTGATGACTGTCACATGCTATGCTACATGTTGATGACTGTCACAGGTTATGCTACGGGTTGGTGACTGTCATGGGTTACACTGCAGGTTGGTGAATGTCACATGTTACACTACAGGTTGGTGACTGTCACAGGTTACACTACAGGTTGGTGACTGTCACAGGTTACACTACATGTTGGTGACTGTCACAGGTTACACTACATGTTGGTGACTGTCACATGTTGCACTACAGGTTGGTGAATGTCACATGTTACACTACATGTTGGTGACTGTCACATGTTATGCTACAGGTTGATGACTATCACAAGTTATGCTACATGTTGGTGACTGTCACAGGTTACACTACATGTTGGTGACTGTTACAGGTTACACTAGAGGTTGGTGACTGTCACATCCCAGATAGCATTGGTATGTTGGCCCATAGTTGGCCCATAATCACCAGTTTGGTTGGCCCCTAGTTGGCTATGGGCCCACTTGGATATGCTCATCGGGTCCACGTTGGCCCATCATAATGGCAGATTGTAGGGCCAACGAATGAAAATTCACACAAAACCATGGCCCATAGTTGGCCCAACGTAGTGATTTTGTTGGCCTTATGTTGGCACCACCGTGTTTCAACATTTAGCTCTTTCTTGACCTTTGTACTAAACCATGGCCCATACTTGGCCCAACGATGTGATTTAGTTGGCCTTATGTTGGCACAACTGTATTTCAACATTTAGCTCTTTCCTGACCTCTGCAATCAGAAACAATATAAACAACACAACAAGTTAATCAAGTGAACTATTTAATTCTTTTTTTTCATTGTTATTTGAACATTATTGTATTTCTTGAAAATATTCTTGTCTTAGGTATTTTGGCTGCCGCCGCTGACAGGTTTTTCGAACTGCTCCTGAAAAAAAACAACCCAAAAATTTCATGAAACTGTCAGATATCATAATTTTAAACATGAGAACTATCGTAAAAGGACATAGTATTTGACCTTATGTTTTATTTGAAACATACAACTTAATGATTGAAAACTTCTCGTTTATTGCACAGAGTGACGTTCGGATGTAGATTCTTACACTGTTATCAAGCTAAAACCAAATGATGAGAAGTATATATGAGTAGTATGTTTTGACAATCAGCAGTTTGACATTAACAACAACATGTAATTGAGTAACAACTGGTACATCAGAGGCCAGATGGGGACTAAGAACAACAAATGGAATGGCGATGAAGCCAATAAACAAGGGGGGATTCAGTTGTAACAACAAGCTGATAGGGTGCTTTGGTAGAGTCTATAGTTTGATTAGTTCTTCATTGGTCTGTCGTTTTCATGTGACTGCAAAATTTGGTTTTGTTGCAATTATTAGATTTTGTGTTAGTGAGCAATTCATTGGTCTCAAATGAAATCAAGTAATTAGATTGTGAAACAAAATTTCCCTGAAACTATCATAAAATAAGTCCAATCTAAAACACCGACTATGAGTTGGTGGGTTACTGGTTGAGGCTTGTGAAGACATGTTGTAGGTGGTTCTTCTCATGTTCTAGGTCATGGCTGCTGGAGGAATGTTCTTATCGTGCTTGATCAGGGTTGAGATGACGCCAAACTTAGTTTTAGGGGGCTGGTTTGACAAATTTGAAATCTTATCCACCAAGAATCAGGACTTCACAAAAAGAAAACTTTTGGAAGCCATCGAAATCAGCCGCCACAAACCTTTGATCAATAGAGACCAAGGATACTACATACCATTGGGATATGAAGAACTAATCAAACTATAGACTCTATCAAATCACCCTATCAGGTTGTTACAACCTAACACCCCACCCCCCTCCCTTCCTTGTTAATTGGTTTCATCACTAGATCCATTTGTTGTTCTTAGTCCCCAACTGGCCGCTCCCAATTATGTTTATTTGACAAAACATACTCTGTACATGTATATATACTTCTCATCATTTGGTTGTAGTCACTTTTAGCTTGATAACGGTGTAAGAATCTACATCGAAACGTCGCTCTATACAATAAAGAAGAAGTTGTCATCCATAGAGTTGTATGTTTCATTTTGGACTCACCAACTTCTAGAATGCTGTTCAAATAATGTGTTATTTGGATATGACGTGTAACTACTATAACTGTGACACATATATCTGATATGATGATGTTTAGCAATTATTGGCTGTAAAGATGAATAATAGAGAGAGTTGTATATGGAAACAGGAGTGTAACTGACAAACACATAATGTTAATAAAGTAAACACAATAAATTTAAATAATTTAAAATGAAATGAGATTTATCAAAGTGGTTAAAACAGGCTACCTAAAGAAAAGAGTCAATTAAATCTTTTATCTACTCAAGCAATTGCCTTTCAATACAGTATGTGTCAGTTTCTTTAGCCTAAATGATGATTTAAATCAATTATTTCACAATATATTTGCAATTCAGTATCACAGAAATAACAATGCATATTTACCAGTTGAAGGCCTCCAGAAATGTAGTGTCGTCTGCTCTTTGAATATCAGGTAA